CCGCAGCATCTCCCTGAACACGCTGACCCTCAACGTGCGGAGCGAGAAGGTTTACACCCGCCACGGGGTCCCCATCTCCGTCACCGGCATTGCCCAGGTATCCCCGGTATCCCCGGTATCCCCAGGTCTCCCCGCGCTGCCCCTTTTAATTCGCGGTGGGCCCTGCCTGGCGCTGCGGCGGGGCGGCCCTTAAAAGGGCGATGTCACGCTGCGGTGTCCATTGGGACGCGGCGTTGTCTTAAAGCGGTCCCGCAGAGGTGGGGCCCACCGAGGAAACAGAGCGCTCTTAAGGAGGCAACGCCCGTTGACTCAGCGCCGTTTTTGTGCGGGGATCCATCTGTAACAGAAGGGTCTTTTTCCCGGTGGGCCCCACCCGCGCGAGAGGCGGCTGGCAGAGGCAGCGCCCTCTTAAAACGGGCACCGCGTGCAGGTGAAGATCCAGGGGCAGAACAAGGAGATGCTGGCGGCCGCCTGCCAGATGTTCCTGGGCAAATCGGAGAGTGAGATCGCCCAGATCGCCCTCGAGACCCTGGAGGGCCACCAGCGGGCCATCATGGCCCACATGACAGTGGAGGTGAGGAGGCCACGCCCCCCGGAGAAGCCACGCCCCCCGGAGGGGCCACACCCCCCACCCGGGCACGCTCACGTAGACAAAGCATTTCCACCAGCAGCCCTAAGCATTGGCATCAGCTCTGCTCTGGGATGGAGGCAGTGCTGCTACAAGCCCCGCCCACTGCTGTGAGCCCCGCCCCATGATTGGCCACACCCCAAGAAGCCACACCCCTAAACTCATTACTGACATAAGCCACGCCCCCCATCACCCCAAACCCTTTCCCTGAAGCTCCGCCCCCTGTCGAAGCTCCGCCCACTGCCCGTAGGCCCCTCCCACTGCCACAAATCTCACCCTAATTGGCCAAGCCCAATGTAAAGCCCCACCTGCTTCCTGAAGCCACGCCCCTTTATTCGAAGCCACACCCCTTCGCATGAGCCACGCCCCTGCAGCCAACCACAACCATGGCACTGAGACCCTGCTGATTTGCATAGCCCCACCCCTTTATTAAAGGCCCACCTCTTTGCATAGCCCACCTTCATTTGCATAATCCCACCCACTTAATGTAACCACATCCATTTGCATAACCACGCCCACTTTGCATAGCCACGCCTTTATACATGGTTGTGTTCCATTTGCATAAATACAGCTACTTTGCATAGCCACGCCCCTTTGCATTACCCCGTTCTTTTGTGAAGCCCGTGCTCATTTGCATAGCCATGCCACCTTCCCATAGCCCAATTCCTTTGAGAAGCTCTTGCTCGTTTGCATAACCACACCCCTATTTCCATAGCCACACCCCCTTCCCATATCCCCAGTCTTTTGAGAAGCCCCACCTCATTTGCATAGCCACGCCTCCCTTTGCATAGCCCCATTTTTTGAGAAGCCCAGTTTTCATTTGCATAACCACACCCCCTTCCCACTCCCCAATTCCTTTGAGAAGCCCGGCTCATTTGCATAGCCACACCCCCTTTGCACCACCCCATTCCTTTGAGACCCCCCCTCATTTGCATAGCCCCGCCCCTGACGGCCGCCCCGCCCCCAGGAGATCTACAAGGACCGGCAGAAGTTTTCGGAGCAGGTTTTCAACGTGGCGTCGTCTGACCTGGTCAACATGGGCATCAGCGTCGTCAGCTACACCCTCAAGGACATCCACGACGACCAGGTGGGCCCCGCCCCGCTCGTGGCCCCACGGTGGCCCCGTTAGTGGCCCTACTAATGGCCCCATTCATGGCCCCATTGTTGGCCCCATTAGCGATCCTACTAATGGCCCTATTGATGGCCGCATTGATTGCCCCATTAATGGCCCCACTGACGGCCCTATTGATGGCCCCACTGATGGCCCCACTGATGACCCCATTGATGGCCCTTTTTATGGCCCCACTGATGGCCCTATTGGTGGCCCTATTAATGACCTTACAAGTGGCCCCATTGGTGGCCCCATTGGTGGCCCCATTAGTGACCCCACTCATGGCCCCACTGTTGGCCCCATGCTGTCCCCACTGCTGTCCTATTGCTGTCCCATTGTGACCCCAGGACCACCTGTGCTGTGTGACAGTTCCTATGACTGTATTGCTGACCCCAATGACCCTGTTACCCCGCTGACCATATTACTGATCCCCCTGACCCCACGATGACGCGCTGACCCCATTACTGACCCACTGACCCCATTAGTGACCCCGCTGACCCCATGATGACCCACTGACCCCATTAGTGACCCCGCTGACCCCACGATGACGCGCTGACCCCATTGCCCGGCCGCGCTGTTGGCAGGACTACCTGCACTCCCTTGGGAAGGGCCGCACAGCGGAGGTGCAGCGCGACGCCCGCGTGGGGGAGGCGGAGGCGAAACGGGACGCAGGGATCCGCGTGAGGACGGCCCCATAGAAGCACTATGGCCCCATAGAAACCCTATGGCCCTATAGAAACCCTACAGCCCCATAGAAACCCTATGGCCCTATAGAAACCCTGTGGCCCTATAGAAATCCTACAGCCCTATAGAAACCCTACGGCCCCATAGAAACACTACAGCTCCATAGAAACCCTATGGCCCTATAGAAACCCTGTGGCCCTATAGAAACCCTGTGGCCCCATAGAAATCCTACGGCCCTGTAGAAATCCTACAGCCCCCATAGAAACCCTACGGCCCCATAGAAACACTACAGCCCCATAGAAACCCTATGGCTCTATAGAAATCCTACGGCCCCATAGAAACCCTACGGCCCCATAGAAACTCTATGGACCCCATAGAAGCCCTATGGATCCCATAGAAACCCCATGGCCATATAGAAACCCCATGGCCCCATAGAAACCCTATGGATCCCATAGAAACCCCATGGCCATATAGAAACCCCATGGCCCCATAGAAACCCTATGGATCCCATAGAAAAGCTATGGCCCCATAGAAAGCCTACAGCACCATAGAAACCCCCTGGCCCCATAGAAATCCTATGGCCCCATAGAAACCTTATGGTCTCATAGAAGCCTTATGGCCCCATAGAAATTCTATGGACCCCATAGAAATTCTATGGCCCAAAAGAAATCTATGGCCCCATAGAAATCCTATGAAACCCATAGAAACGCTATGGCCCCATAGAAATCCTGTGGCCCCATAGAACCCCACACCCCCCACATCCCCCTGCCCACCTCCAGGTCCCCCCACATCCCCCCATC